TATATCCTACAAGGTCATATAGAATTGGTAAGTAACTATATATCCTACAAGATCATATAGAATTGGTAAGTAACTATATGTCCTACAAGGTCATATAGAATTGGTAAGTAACTATATATCCTACAAGGTCATATAGAATTGGTAAGTAACTATATATCCTACAAGGTCATATAGAATTGGTAAGTAACTATATATCCTACAAGGTCATATAGAATTGGTAAGTAACTATATATCCTACAAGGTCATATAGAATTGGTAAGTAACTATATATCCTACAAGGTCATATAGAATTGGTAAGTAACTATATATCCTACAAGGTCATATAGAATTGGTAAGTAACTATATATCCTACAAGGTCATATAGAATTGGTAAGTAACTATATATCCTACAAGGTCATATAGAATTGGTAAGTAACTATATATCCTACAAGGTCATATAGAATTGGTAAGTAACTATATATCCTACAAGGTCATATAGAATTGGTAAGTAACTATATATCCTACAAGGTCATATAGAATTGGTAAGTAACTATATATCCTACAAGGTCATATAGAATTGGTAAGTAACTATATATCCTACAAGGTCATATAGAATTGGTAAGTAACTATATATCCTACAAGGTCATATAGAATTGGTAAGTAACTATATATCCTACAAGGTCATATAGAATTGGTAAGTAACTATATATCCTACAAGGTCATATAGAATTGGTAAGTAACTATATATCCTACAAGGTCATATAGAATTGGTAAGTAACTATATATCCTACAAGGTCATATAGAATTGGTAAGTAACTATATATCCTACAAGGTCATATAGAATTGGTAAGTAACTATATATCCTACAAGGTCATATAGAATTGGTAAGTAACTATATATCCTACAAGGTCATATAGAATTGGTAAGTAACTATATATCCTACAAGGTCATATAGAATTGGTAAGTAACTATATATCCTACAAGGTCATATAGAATTGGTAAGTAACTATATATCCTACAAGGTCATATAGAATTGGTAAGTAACTATATATCCTACAAGGTCATATAGAATTGGTAAGTAACTATATATCCTACAAGGTCATATAGAATTGGTAAGTAACTATATATCCTACAAGGTCATATAGAATTGGTAAGTAACTATATATCCTACAAGGTCATATAGAATTGGTAGGTAACTATATATCCTACAAGGTCATATAGAATTGGTAAGTAACTATATATCCTACAAGGTCATATAGAATTGGTAAGTATTTATACATCCTACAAGGTCATATAGAATTGGTAAGTAACTATATATCCTACAAGGTCATATAGAATTGTACTTTACCAGATCAAGCCCCCAAACAGGGGAGGAACCCCACTTACTTCTGCCTCAAATGTGTGGAAGTATTCCCTCGGTGCCTTGTACCGAAACTGGTTGTAGATTTCTTGTTCCCAAATCATCTGGTTCTTCTGTAATATACATTAAAATAAACATCACTTTAAATGTGTGTTGATTTTAATTTTCCATGTACATTCATTTTAATGAAACAAAGCATAAAAATGATAATGATAAAGTGTATTTTGAAAAAGTCCTAATGTTGTTACCCACTAAACTGGGATGATTTTGGCTGCTTGATTTTAATTCATGAAGAAATTTTTCATAATTAAGTTGAAATTTGATCTCACTGAGAAATAAAATATTTTTTGGGGCTGAAATTTCATGGTTTACCGTCAAAATACCATACATTGGGTACATGAATGTGTAGAGTACCACCTAAAATGGAGAATTGCTTTATATCAAATTTGTGGGTGAAAGACATTAAAAACCCACAAAAATTAGTAATTTCACAGTATCATTAAATAGACCTCTTTTACCTTCTTCATGTATAAATATATTCAGATGAGGTGTGTATATATATATCCAGTTTTACCCCCTGACAGAAAATTATGTTTTCTCAACAATTATCCCTGTCCTTCCCAGGAGTACAGATAGTCTATTTTATTTTACAAGGGACACAAAAGTCTGACAAAAAGGTTACATACATCTATAAAAAAAAAAAAATCCAAATCTTTTATTTTAGTCTATTTTTTTCATTAACAAAGGAAGGTATAGTAAGCTTTGTCTTCACTTTTATGCACAGATAAAAAAGTTGAACAACCAATCTTGTATCGCTGAATGCCGACATCTGTAATATCACTTTTATCACATCATGTTTTAATCATTACTGCATGGCTTCCTCATTTTTAAACAATTAAATTTGACGTTGAACATCTTGTATTGACAATGACAGAATTTGATAATTTGAAATAACTTTGAAATGTAGCACTAGATTAAATTACATATATTTACATCGATCTACACTAGTGTTATGTCCCGTTTGCTATAATTTCTGTCAGTACGTACAATTGCATACAGACTTTTTTTAATGCTACAAGTATTGTAATAAAGGAGTGAAGTCACTGATAACAGATTTCTGTAAAAGTATTTCAGGTTTTACTATTTCAATAAAATCCCTATACATATAAATTTATCTAAATACATATAGATATGCATTTTACATTAAAACTGTACAAACATCTGCAGAATAAAAATGATAACAGATCTTCTGTCATTTCTCCTCCATACAACACATGTGATGTACCAGCATGCGGTGATCTACCATGTGATCTACCACGGGGCTGAATCGTTTAACTCATTCACCCCTGAAATTTTATAATGAACCATTCCAACCTTTGAATCGGAAGAGCTCAAATGTGTCTCCAGGGGTCGATGAGTTAATGTCTGTATCAGGACAAACTTTTTATCAGGTGATGGATAAGGCCCTGTGATGTATAATAAGCTATAATTAAGCTGAGTGTTTAAATATTCATCCTTATATGTCAAAACTAATCACTCAAAACCCATTTATTCACACCTGCTGTTTTGATAATATGGCAATGAACATTTTAATTTACATCCTGAGCGATATAACTTTCAAGCTGATGGATGGTTTTACCAAAATTGATATTCTTCAACTCAAATCTAAATCAAACTCAGAAGTATTATTCTGGTCAGTTACGTCATTACTTGCCTTGACATGGGTTGATAATCACGATAATCTATCTTACAGTATGGTTTCTGTCTGGGCCAAATATACTTACTCAAATATTGCATGTACACGTTACAAAACATAACTTAAAACTATTTCATGAATGACAAAAAAGCCTTTGTTAAGTGTGGATTGCATGCATGTTATAAATAGCTATATAGATGGCCAGCACAAAAATCCCTGAGGCGTGTAATAGCTATTTCTGTCAGACGGTATCTCCGGTAGACGTGACGTGGCCTGTCGTGTACATGTTATACCTGTCGAGTGCATGTCTTACACAATTAAAGTACACCAGCTGTAATTTAATACTTACAATCAAAACAGAGAATCTCAATGTTTACAGGTTTTTCCTCTATTTTTTGGAAAATTTATGTCATGTAATCAAATAATTTTGAAATTTGCATGTAGCTGAAATGTTAACTATTAAATATTTATCAAAGGTATGTACCTAGATATTTACATCCATTTATCTTTACTGTGTGTTACAAACATGTACAGGTAGTCTTTCCTGTTGTAGTATGTAGGAGATTGGACATAGATCAGGTGTCAGAATCCAGTCGAGAATCTATTAATCATCTTATAGTATTTAATACAAGTGTTATATTTCTTGGGGTCTGACAGTCTACTAATTTAAACAATACATGTATATAAATGCAACAGATGTGAACAAGAGGCCCAATGGGCCTGTACTGCTCACCGGTTGTTCATGTCTCACATAATTATGTCACCTTCAAAGAGTTTCAATATAAAATCTATTTACTAGGTAGATATCATTACACTACACATTATAGATCCTTGTTGTAAGATTTTATTACTTCACACCTTATGAATCTTCATTAGAAGAGTTTAACTTACACTAATGTGACTATAGCAGTCAGTCAAGGTCATTCATGCAGATTCCAAAGTTCATATCACTTAAGAATCAGGACAAATATTATAACCATACATATATATATATCTCAATTATTCACAAAGATTTAAAGGTTTGAACACATTTGAACTTTGTGACCTTGAAAGTATGTCAATGCCACTCATTTGAACAAACATAAGAGCTCTTTATCCCTACGTACTAGTGGTCTGATATCATCCTAGCCCTCTTGGTCATTAAGACTAAGATGTTAGAAAGTTCCCATGTGACCTTGATAGTGGCCATGGGTCAAGACAATTTATTTGTACAAACTGGATAGCCCTTCATCCAAGCATGCTTCTTGCTAAATATCATCACCCTAGGCTTCTTAGATGTTTAAATGAATTTGTTTAAACCAAACAGTTGATGCCAGCTGGATGGCAGACACCATATCGCAGCACACATGCAAGCTTGTCAGGCCCAAAAGGCGAAAGTGGTACAAATATTTCTGGTCAGACTGGGATTTGAACCTGAGTGCTCCAAACTCCAGATTGAGACTACTGTGTATATCAACTGATCATGAGCTATCATGATCAGGTCCCTGGGATCTAGCCAGTCCCATCCCATGATCAGGTCCCTGGGATCTAGCTGGTCCCTGGGATCTAGCTGGTCCCTGGGATCTAGCCAGTCCCATCCCATGATCAGGTCCCTGGGATCTAGCCAGTCCCATCACACTTTAGTGTTTACTAATTTACATAATAATTTCTAGGTGTTTACTTTAATTAGCATCTGTAATATATCACAACAATTTACATATATTGTACCAGATAATTAACATATTTTGAAATATTGCCAAGAAAATCAAAAAGACATTGGTCTGTTAGCTACAATTAAGGTATGCATGTCATTATTTCACAAGTACACAATTACCATAGTCAAGATTGTATGTTCATGACTAAATGGAATATTTTTTTAATAATATGTGCACCTGAGGAGCCATTAATTATATGTGTCATAATACACAGGTATTTAGTTCAACAGTGTCAATGGAATTCTGCGAGCTGTGTTTAAATTGAGCCTGGGAAGACATTCCTCACGCTACACACGACAATCCCTCGCAGACATTGTGTAACATTCCATTGTGTTATTTGTTAGCAAGACAATTTCCGCCTTTTTTACACCAGGTATGAGGAAGGTGCCTAGGTAGATATATATTTGGGTATTTTCAGTTGGCAAGGTAGACTGTGAGTTGAACATAACCGGCTAGGCATCATGTGCGGGTTACACAAGGGCAATTATATTACTGTCTTTATATAATACTCCTTAATAACCGAGAGGCCCATGGGCCTTAACGGTCACCTGAGTCCTACAGTATTTATTTTTGATGTTGAAATATGTACCAATTTGAGTAAAAAATAGTTAAGTATAACGTTAACTTAAGTTTGTCAGGACCATGATCTGATCATTCCTAGACCAAGTTTCAGTTAAGTCGGCCTATTAAAACTTGTTTTTAAGTTTGAAATAGTTATTTTCAAAATGGCAGCAGTGGCAGCCATTTTGGATTTCTGATCGACCCAAAAAATAATAACACTTTGTCAGGATCATGAGTCGATCATTCCTATTAAGTTTCAGTTTAAACGGCCCAGCAGAACTTGACTTTAAGTTTGAAATAGTTTTTCAAAATGGCGGCCATGTCAGCCATATTGGATTTCTGATCGACCAAAACAAAACAACACTAAAGCTCAGGTGACCTAAAAAATGACAATTGTATATTGTTTTGTTTTTTTTAATTTATTGCCATTGGTATTTACTATTTATATTGTTAATTTATACATTTTTTTAATAGCATGGCAGGTTTTAATTGTACTTTGACATTTGCTTTGAAGCTTAGTGCTAGAGGGATAATCCCTTTCGCTCAATTAATAGAGAGACGGGCTAATATAAGCTAGGAAGCTGCTGGGAGTTACTTGTCCAATCACTACTATGGATTTTTTTGTCACTAAATAAAGTTAACATAGGAAATATTGTATATTTAACAAAGTCTGAGCTCCAATGGAGCCAATATTTCATGAGTTCAACATGGTAAAGAAAAAAACAAAGAAGAAATGATTTCAAAATGAGAGTTTTAATCTGAATTTAATACAATTGATTTCCTCAGAAAGAATGAACAAAGATTGTAACAAATGATAGATTATCTTTTTGTCACTAAGTAATAGAAGGTTAAAAGGAAACAACAGGGGACAGACCTGACATTTACCTCCCGATAACATCGCATGGCAGACGCCACGCTTGTATAGATCACCTCAAAGCAGCTCACCACCATTGGTTGTTGTTCTGTCATTTCCATTTTTGGAATGTGTCGCCTCAGGCTACAGTTTTTTTTTATCAATGTAGACAGTTTTTGTTTCAATGTATTATGAGATACTTAGTAGACCAGTGATAAATCACTTGTGTGTCGACCCCTCTTATTTCTGACTTGTGGACATAACTATCAGAATCTCACCAGTCTTCTGTGCAGGTTTTACTTGTACAAC